CATATTTTAATTTTGAAAAATAAGATACAAAACCACTTAGGTTAGGCACATTAAAAAAGTATACTCTGTGCAATAAAACTAATTGTCTTCAAAGGTTTGCAGATTACCTTATTAAAATTTTCTAACAACCAAGACAGCTTAAACCTTGCTTGTTTCATTAATACATTAAGATATGCAGGAGGAAATAAATAAAATAGCAGTATCTCCTAGCAAGTATATGAAATCTTGAAAAGGTTTCTTTTAAGCACTTGTTTGTTATGCCTTAAAGGTTAACAGCAGTTTTTCTTTGAACACACCTACAGCAATTTTTTTCTGTACTGTGAAGGTCATGAGCAGAATTTTGGATAGGTTTTGTGGGTACAACTTTTCTGTTACTAACAAAATGTGAACACTGCTAGATAGAAATATCCATCTTGCACGATTCAAAAGACCACAAAAATTAATATTTTAAATAATACAGAATTTGGAAGCATGGAATTGAGGATTTTTTCCCTAATCCATGTTTCTCATCTGTGGAATTTTTTTTCCCCCCCTAGAGGTGCCTTAAGTGTCACTCTCAGCAATAAATCAGAACTATTTGCACAGTGGAAACACTTAAATAGTGTACCTGTTGAAAAAACACTGTCCAACAAAATCTGCTTTTGAGAGATTCACAAATGCTCATTTGTATGGAAGTCATGAGGCAAATAACATACATGCACTTCTCTAGGATCTCTGCAGAAGTCTGAATTGGGTTCTATTTTATATCTTCATCCATCTATACCCTCCCACTAAATTTTGTTAAAATGTCACATGACAACAGCAAAATACTTTCATTAAGCCTTCATTTACATTAATCTAGTTAGAACAATGCCACGATTCTACAATTACATACACCACTCCTTAACTCAGTACCACAAATAGTCCTTACTAAAATTAGTATTAGCATGCATGCAAAATTAAGACTGTCCTTAGTCAAACCAAGATCAGAACTGGAGAAACATTTCAGCCTTCAGTGTGACACTGATTTCTGTATTTCTGTTGCTTTCCAACAGAACTTTGATAGCTGTGTATGCTGAAACTGTCTAAGAGAAATGAGGAGTTGCATTACCTCAAAGTAAACTGAAGAGGTTACTTAGTCCTAAGAGAAACTTTCCCTAGATTTAGTCTGAAGAGTCAGTATTATTTCCCCTCTAGAACTTCCCAGACGGCAAAAACACTCACCCAAAAGGCTAAGTGACAATTAAGCAAATTTCTCCTTTAAATATGAAAAACGTTAAGATACATAAATGGATTCATAACTCCAATCCATATTATTGAATTTGTGACACAATGTTTGTGGAACAGGAACATGTCTTAAAAAAGAAGGAATTCAGATTTCAGACCTTCCCTCTTTCAAGAAGCTTGTATTAGCTTTGGGGGAGGGGGGTATTTAAACCTTTATGAATATGTAAGTAAAAACATCAATGGAATTAAAAAATAAAGGTAGAATTTGTTTTGTAGTCTCATCTCCTTAAAACAAATCACAGATCTGTTTATACAAATGGAGAAACTGAGTCACGAAGGCAAACTGACTCATTAAAACTCATACAGGAAAACTCTGGAAGATCTCTAAATTCCCAAGAGGTTCTTAGGGCATAAAATAAACTGTAAAATTTGAAAATTAGTATTTTTGGGTTATTTCATTACCTTTGCCCAAAAACTTTTTGTAAAGTCTACAAGGTTATTTTCCTCTAATTGTGAATCAGATGTCTGTTTGAGAACATGACAGAAGCCATAAAGAGCTACAGACTGTAGACATCAAGACAGGAGCTTTCAACTGAAGGCAAAGAAAGAAAAAGGCAAAGGTTTCCATAAAGGCCCGTACACCCTTTAAAGTCTTTTCCATGTGCTTTATTAAATAGAGAATAAGACCCGATTTAGAAAAAAAGAAATTATTTATACAACTAAAGATGACAGGAGTAAGCATTACTGCAGAATTAACAAAATCACCCAGCCTTTGGCCTCAAAACACACTAGAGGCATGTATTAAAAACACCCTAGAAGTCATACTGTTCAACTTCAGGTATACCTTAAATACTACATCAGTGCTTCTAAATAGTATTCAAATTAAAATTTGTCAGAGATTGAATACAGCTTTGCCACTTCAATACCTCACTTTTGATTTCTTAAATCCAGAAGGTTCTAAAGCTATACCAGAATAGGAATTCACATCTCATTAATTTAAAGGACAAAATTAAAGACAGGCATTAAAAAAAGGTGAAAATTTATTTTTTGTTATTGTTGCTTAAAACACACAATTTGCAGTTGCTATAGCATGTATCAGAGTACTACACCAACTACCAAATAATGAATCCTTGTGACCTCCCTTCCCCCCACTCAAACGTATTTATAGTGGTGATACTAAATGGTTCATATTTCATTTAGGAAAAAAATTAGACATTACGAATCGCACCTTCCCTCAGTACTTGTATGCGTATTATCACATATACAATTTATATAGCAATATACAAAATAAACTGAAGAAAAAAAATGTAATGCAAAGATTACATGGTAGCAGAAGAAATTCTGTGTCTTTAAATAAAGTAACAGGTTATAATCTTGTGTGCATTATTCCCTTAAATTAATTCTGTATTCCCTAACGATGAATACATGAAATTACTACACCGATGTCCAGTGAAAGTATTTCCTGGAAGATGAACATGAAACTCACAAATGGGTTTCCATAAAGAATTTAGCTGACTGTTTTAGTGATCGTAATCCATGACTCGCGTTGACAAATATTACTGATTCTATATCGTTAGTAGGACAGACAGCGGTACAGTATCGATCACAAACGCAGGAGCCTTTCCCATTTACTAAACCGACATACACATTACGTTACAGCACCATATACACACCCCTCGAAGGAGCTGCTGGAGTCTGTTGCCTCTTTCCACCCCCCTTCTCCCCAACAAGAGTGGTCTCGTTCACTTGCCTTTCACACACATAACCAATAAAATTAATCAGCTGGAACACAGCATTTTTAAATCGCAGTAAAGTCAAGAGCTGTTTTGTACGTTATTTGAAGGCAATAGCCTTTTCATTTTAACATAGTAAGACACTAATATGCTGCAGACAAACGCACTGCATGGGGTGTGGAGGACCCGAGCTGATTAGATTACCACAACATCAGCCTGAGGCCGCCATTTTTAGAATCTCTAAAGGACAAAAGAGGGAAATTAATAAATTTGCTCCACATTTTTTAAAAAGTAACTTCAAAAGTATAGTGATGATAACTAATTAATCATGCATTGCAAGTACTGCCATGGATATCTCCTGCTGTTCTCTGATCTGAACCCTGTGTAACAAAAATGCTTCGTTATTATTCCTTTAAACTACTGTAAATAAACATTCGTAAATCTAGATGCAGTACTGAACTTCTGCTTTTGACGACACGTAGTATATAGCATTTTAGGGACCTCAGGGCTTTCAGGCACCGCACGTTCCCTAATAGCTGAGTATGGGGGAATACAGGACCTTTATAATCAGACTATATTATGTTTCTCTGCCCTATTTAGTAGTACACAGTGAACCGTTTGTTTCTCTCCCCCTGTGTCTGCAGCAATAGGGTCAAACCCACCAACACTTACTGCTTCAGGAAAGAGAATGAAATGTGCCACCCAGGGAACACGAACACTGGCTGCAGAAACTAAAGCAAGAAAGGGGTGCACCAGTCTAACTACTTACAGCCTCGAGAAAGGGGGTGGGGAGAATGATCCCCTTTTAAATTGGCACAGAAACTCCTGGGGACAGCTCTCCGTTTGTCCAGGTTACACCACGAAGCGGAGATATTAACAGGGAGGCAGGCGGGGAGGCGGGGGTGTGGAAGGCAGAGAGATTAGGCCTATAACGAGCCATTTTAGCACCACAAAGCAAAAATATACAGGATGGAGGAAAAGAATAGGCTTCCCCAAGCTTCGTAAAACTCAATACGCAGTCCCAATAACGCACAAACCCGTTCTGAAAACCGCCAGCCCAAGGAAGCCTATGTTGTCACATAATAGCTCCTTCTGGCTCATTTTCCAAGCATAATGCATAAATCTGGCGTAACTGCCAAAAAATTCTCCTCAGCTCCTCCAGTTACAGTAACCCGCCATATTCATAAGATATAGCGACAGCCTGCCATTTTTTAACCCAACCCCACAAAAGGAAAAGCAAATTCAAGGCAACTTAAAACAGAAATTAAACACATTTCAGGGTGGGAAGGAGTTATACTCGCACCGAACGTAATGAGACATTCCCGTCGCATTTCACTCCCTTTTTCCACCCCCCCCCTCCCCCAAAGCACCCACAGCAGAATATGCTGGTAATAACCAAAGACTCACCTGTAATGGTCACAGGCCAGGCAGCAGGACCCCTCAGCTGAGCCCCTTCTCTATCCCAACCAAAACAATGCAACAGCCCCACTGCGGATATCCCTACCCTAGGTAAGACTCAGCCCTCAGCAGGCTCTCGTAAAAGAAAGGGAAAGAGGAAACCCCCCTCCCCCCAAATCTAGCTCAGTGCGCAGAACCCTACAGGGACCAGCTCAAAGGCGCCTTTGCCCTGGGACCTGTGTACAAACCCCGCTGCTGCCGCCGCTGCTCCCGTGCCTCCCTCCCTCCAGCCTCCTACGCTCCCTTCTATGTCACTGCCTCTCTCTGGGAAAATGGCGTCCGCTCTCCCCTCCCTCCCCCTGCACGGGGCTTACCCGCCCCGCCTGACAGGGGCAGGGTTACCAAGGCGAAGCCAAACAGCCGCCATTTTGCTTACGGGCCGGGAGCGCAGCCCGCGCCCGCCGAGCCCTCAGAGTCCATTTTGCAACACGCAGAACGGCTCCGGGGTCTGGGCGCGGCCGCGACACCAGACTGCGGCAGGGGCTGGGCAGGGGGGCCGTGAGGAGGGAAGTAGGGCAGCGGAGGAGGGGCGGCGGCAGCGGGGGCTGGCGCCGGGGGCGAGCCGCAGCCCCGGCGGCGCAGCCTGCGCGGGAGGGGCGGGGGCTCCGTCCCGGCCTGTTGTGGGGCCGAGCGCGGGCGGGAGCGGGGGTGTCTGAGTCAGAGCTGCATCCTCGGAGGAATAAACGCCAAAACTCCCTCCTCGGCCGCTCTCACACCCCCGACCTCCAGCTTCTTCCTCACGACCGTCGACGCTGTCAGCATACGTGTTCTTTATGAACCTCTTAACAGCACATTTTCGGCCTAAACTGCGCGAAAAGCCGGGCAGAGCCGCCGGATCTCACACACGCTGAAGAACTACCTGAGGGGAGGGCAAGAGGGGAGCGAAAAAGGAGCGGGAATTTTTGCAGACCTGCTCAGGAGGTTTTGACTGAAACTTTCAGTAAGACACTCAAGGCTGAGAATCTTCCCCGAAGCGTTTAAGACTCAAAGGCAAGTGGGAGAAAGCTTCTTTCCTTAGAGCGAGTGCGAGAACACTCGCTGAAAGCATTTCTGTTCTGCAGGGAATGAGACAAGCAGCGAACGAGCCTCGTCTGCCCGTTAGGGAGCAGCCCTCGGGGAGTAGGAATGGCGCGCTTCTGTCCAGAGCAGCGGGCGCTGCCAATGCCAGGAGCCCGCTCAGCCGTTCAGGGCGGACGCAGCTCCGGCCATTCGTAAGCAGCCCCTCTTGCTAACCACCATATCTCCTCCCAGCTCCCGCTGCACCTCTCCGCCGCCCTGCCTCCCCTGCCCGGCTTCAGCCCCTCCAGCGATACGGCTGATGGAGGGGAGGCGGCGGCTGGGGTTTCGTTCGACGCCCACCAGGGGCTGAGCGAGCCTTCTTCAGTGCGCAAACTCGGGGCACCAGATAAAAGCTGGGCTGGCAGCTCTTACCCTGCCTCGATGGAGCCGCCACTTTCGGCTGACTGGAGAAGCAGTTAGCAGCAGCGCCATAGACTAAGCGTCCCCCCACACCTTGGGCACAGAGAGTTTGGGGCTCTAAACAGCTGCTGCTGCGGCAGGAGGGAGTCGAGGTGAAGGGATCTGCTAGCTGGTTGGACGCAGAGGAGGCGGCTGTAATGGGGCATTAAGTCTGAGGGAGGAGGGGGGGGCGATTAAACCTCTTGTGATCATGGCGGAGTCTATGGGTATTTTTTTTCCTGTCTAACTCTTCTGTGCGTGTGTCTCTTGTTTCTTTCTCTCTCTCTCTCTCTCTCTCTCTCCTTAGGGCGCTTGGCTGGGGCTGCTCGCTCGGGTTCTGCCTGTTGTTGCGCGAAATGGCGGCTGGCGTCTTGGTGGGTTTGGTTGTCGGTTTTTTGTGTAGGGTTTTTTTTTTTTTTCCCTTCCCCTCCTATTCCCCTCCCCGCACTTGTGCCTTGGCTGCGGCTCCGCAGCGAACCGCGGCGGAGCCCGAGTCAGGAGGGGGGCGGGAGCGGCGCGGCAGCCAATGGCCGGGCCTGCCCGGGTGGCCCGGCGCGCCCTGATTGGCTGGCGCTGACATCATCCTGCAGCAGGGGCAGCCGCAGCTGGGCAGGGTCGGGAGCTGCCGGGGGAGGCAAAGGGAGAAAACGGGCGCCATGATCTCAGCGCTCGGGAAGACTCCGCGGGCAGGGCGTCCCCGAAGAGCTGGCGAAACGAAAAGCGGGACCGGGCCTGGGCTTCTCCATCTCGAATAGTGCCGGGGCTGTGCTGAGAGGAGCGGGAAACGAGCGAGAGGGGAGCAACTCGTGCCTGCCTTTGTAACTGCGTCAGTACAAGATGGCGCAGGGTGTCCCTGGAGAGGGAAGGGAGTTGCACGTCCGCCGGAGGTCATGTGACCGCGTTGCATTCCTGTGGGGTTTGGCTGCGGACCAAGCTGGCTTGGGCGGCAGCGGCGGCTGCCCGGGAGAGCCCGGGCTTCCCTCCCCCTCCTGCACAACGCCGTCGGTCCCGCGCTGGTTCCCTTCCCCCACCAGCCTCATGCACGAGGGTGTAGCTGCTGCCGAGGAAGGTTCTCGCTTCTCTCTTTACTCTCCACCCACCTCCAGGGTGTAGCTCCCCTTGGGGAAAGCTTTCCATTCCGCCCCCTCTGCGCAAGGCTTTGCCCACCGCCAGGGAAAGTTCCCCGTGGGTGCCTGCCGGCTCCGCCCGAGCGTGGGAGCCGGCTGCGCTCACGGCAGTGCCGCCCGCTCGGTGCGAAGGCGCTCTGCTCTGAGCTAAGTTGCAGGGGGTTATGGAGCGCTTCTTACTGGAACAGTCGTTTTAAGTGATGTCTAAATGACCTCATTAAAGCCGCCGAGGAAAACGCACAGGCCCTGCGGAGTTGCTCTTCTAACGAGGAGGCCTTGGCTGTTCTAGTGTTGCTCTACCGGGGGTACGAGTGGAGGGGCCAAGTGAAAGTCTCTCAGCTGTTTATGACTTTATTCCGTTTGAACAGGAAAAGTGAATCGCTGTTCTTTGTGTGCTGTTGAATCCTGTTGCAGGAGTTGAGCAGCTTTCTGTGGAACAATAGGTGTATTCCAAAGTCAGGCCGCAGATGGCCTACATCTTTAACATGGGAATTGATGTGTATACTTAGTGCAAATGAAAACTATGGTCTGCAAATATTGTGACGACTCCCCATGTTTTACTTTGAGGTCCGTAGGCAAATGAACTTGTTATATAGGCCTGGAAGGTTGGCAAATACTTTTTCCGTGTCTTTTTTTTTCCTTTTAATTTCAATATTCGCTGGATGGGAAGTGAAAAATGTATGTTTTCCAATCCTAACTCTTTTTCTTTAAGGAATGCAATTCCTATTACTGTTTGGTTGATCTTCTCATATTTTAAAAGTAATTTAGTGCTAGTTCCCATGTTCTTGTATGCCACAATATAAATTTAGCCACAACATCTAACCCAATGTACAAATTAACAGTTAAAATTGTTGATGATTTAAGGGTGTGTGTTTGTTCTATTTGGGAATGTTTCACTTTTTCTATTCTTAGTCTGTCTCTTGATAGGTAGGATTTTTTTTTACTTTTTACCTCCACAGTAGCAACTTGATAGGGCATAAATCTTGACTATTTAACAAATGTGCTGTTTGAGAACTGGCATGGAAGTAACTGCGTGTATGACTAATAGAGATTTCTGTATAATAGCTGCTCTTTAATATGTGTTACATAAGTAATATGGTGAGGTGGAGTTCAGTTATATAAGAACTGACTGGGGACTTGGGAGCTACTGTAAGTAGTTCATATTGGTCGCATATATAGCCTGCAGGGCATCCCTGTGTTGTGGGAGGAGGGGTAGAAAAACAGGATTGGAAGCATCTAACAGCACTACATTTTTCCTTTGTAGGTTTATAGAGGATACCAGGAAAGAAAGGGAGAAGGCAGTAATTAGGAGTGACAGAGTGTGAAGCTTTCAAAAGTCTGTAGTCTCATTTGAGCTTAGGTTTTAGGATGTAAGCTCTATTTTCTAAAAGAGCAATCTCCCCTATTTTGAGTGTCAGAAGGTAGCTGCCAGCTGAGCATTGTGCTAACTTCTGTGCAGACTATAAAGAGCAAGATTCTTGAGTCCTGGAGATAGTGAGGCTGTGCCTATTTTTTTTGTTTAAAAAAAAAGAAGCTTACTGGAAATGGTGTTAGGAGGAGGCAGTTGGTTTGTTGATCAAACATTAAAATGACTGGATTACTGATTCTTCTTGTGTAGGCATCATATGACACAAGGTAAATACTCCTTTGTAATGGAAGCTTCCAGAGAAGCTTTGAGTGTACAGTGATTCTTTTAACATAGCAGTGATTTATGTGGGACTTGTCATTGTGAATACTTCATTGCAGATGTGTTAAAGGGAGAACATTAATTCCAACTAAAGATGAGGGGAAGAAACATTTTATTAGGATTTGCATTTAGGCATATGTTCTGTAATTATGAAACAGTAATTGCCTGCCTCACTGTAAAATAATTGTTTGAATACTTACGTTATAGAATAGTTTATATAGAAAATTAGCTAGCATTCTAATTCTTAAAGCAGCCTTTTAGGTAACTCACTTTGATAACAGATTTTGCTTGAAAACCAAGAAGTGAATTGTTTTAAAAGTTCTCTCTGTAACTCATAGCTTATTGCCGCAGTATTTGAACTGAGATGTGGCTGTGCTTTTACGAAGCTATAGGAATGAAGGCAAGTTTTAATGAGCTGGTAGTAATTTCTAGTTTGTTTCAAGGTTGTTTTTATTAGTAATTCTCAGGAAAGCAGTTATCTTGAAAGAAGCAGTAGCTCTGGTAGTGTTGCAATGAAGTCTCAAAACAAAGTCATATGTATTCTGAGTTATTTGTGCTGCAGGAGAATAGTGAAAACAAAATGTGTGTATTTCTTTGAGACAGGGCATTTGCCCTACAGCTGGTCTGATGCAAGGTGTTTTAATCTCAAAGGGAAGAAAAGAGCTGTATTCAAGGGAGACTGGGTAAAAAATGGCATGTAATTTACATTTATGATAGCTTACCAGGGAAATGAACAATTCCTACAGAACTACAATTTGCTTCTTAACAAAGATACTTCAGTGGGCTGGATGTTCCCCAGCACTTAGATTTGTGGTTCTAACTTGCCGTGGTAGCCTGTCTGTGCATGCATGTGTGGTCTGAGCCCTTGCTAAGACCTGTTATTTAAACAGTTGTTTACCTTTAGCCATACAAAGGGACATACAGGAGTTCAAGGGTATTTAGAGGAGAAAGGAGAGATACTAACAGTGTAATAGATCAAATGATGCATTAATGTCATAGTTGAGACAGTTAAAAGTGGTCATGCTGAAAGATGATCTTGCACCTTTTCAGCTGTTCATTCTTGCTTCTGCAAGTGATCATGGGAGAAATAGCAGTGAAGAATGGACGAAACATAAGCCTAATAGTAATGGATGGTTTTCTAATGTGACTCTTCATTGTGTGGCTTGACAAACATTCCTGTTTGAATGAGAGCGGAATGAAGCACCTGCTGGGAAAATAGAGATACACAGGTTTTAATTGTTAGTGAAGCTAGGTATGCTTTTTCTCAGGAAAGCTGCAGTTAAGGAGTTTTGAGGGGCACTATTAAAGGCTTTTGGCTAGTGTAAGTAGAATCACTGAGCCAGGCACTCTTAAAAAAAATCCTAAACTTTGAGTTTATGTCATTGCTAGATTGACCTTCAGTTGTGGGTAGCAAGAGCACTTCAGCTTCACTGAATTGGTAGCCTGTAAAATTAAGTGAATTGTTATTCTCAGCTACAGGCTAATTAAGTGTTCACAGGGCTTTAGATTTAAGTTTATTTTGTTGGAACAAGGTAAAACTTGGAATAAGCTTGCTTCATCCACAAGTGTCTGATACTCTTAATAGCTGGGGTATTCAGTGCAAAATTATCCGTACAGGATGAGTTCTTAGTTAATCATAAAAAGTGGTGCCTGTGGGTCAGTAGTAGTAGTCACTAGCCAAATTAATTTGCATTAGTTGCATGAGGAAAAGGTGTTCTAGTGACTGACAACTGATCAGTTTATCCACCTGGATTTGGACAGACTGTGTTCAGTGCTCAAACAGCAGCAGGACAAGAAATTCCTTTGCATACTGCTTTAGTCTTTGTGTTACAAGGAATCTTTTTGAAAAAGTTTTTTCTTTAGCAGTAAAATAGGTTATTGGCTGGTTCTACAATTCTTAACAGTTGAGTTCCTCACTTAAAGAAGCAACCTTAAAGAGCTGTCGTATGGCCTCCTAATCCTGGAATTAGTGGGCTTTTGTACCAGGTTCACTGCTGTGACCTCTGTGTAGCGAAGTGGGGCATTGGTTTGTTTTCTCCTTGCAGCATGACCTTGTTACTTGAAGTAGTCTTTCTGATGAACTACTAGGTGCTTTGGAGAGCAGTATTAAGGTCCAAGTAGCTACTTTCCTAAGTGAGGTCATGCTCAGATTGTAATTATTATAATGCAGCACTAATGCTGAGATGCTGTCAATAGCAGTTCTTTGATGAAAATAACCAGTGATTGAATGGCTCATGAGCAGTTTATGCAATATGGTGCTTTTTGAGGATCTTTAGGAAGAAAATGGGGAACAATACTGCCAGTTTGGAAACCTGGATTGTGGCAGAGTTGGGAAATTACTCAACTAGAGACTCTAGCATCCCGTAAGTACAGCTGAAGGTGGTCCTGTCACAGAAGGTAAGAGTTTGTGTTCCTTGTAAGCTCAGAAACTAAGCAAATCTTAGCTGCTGGTGTTTTTGTTTTGGGGTTTTTTTTGGCGCTTATTAAGTGGTGGAGAAAAGAAACTGTATGGAAACTTCTTACTGTGACTGCTCTTCCATCTATGAGTTTGTTAATGTGGCACAGTCATGCAATAGATGTTACTCCAAAGTAGAAATGCAGCGGCTTTACTGCAGCAGTATATCATGTTTCTTCAAAGGTTTAGCTTCTGAAGAGTGCTGCAGTCCTATTCAGTGTGGTCTGTTAAGAAGCAAAACAGAAATACTCAACAGGGTGGGGCTTTTCAACACAGAAAAGGCTCTTGGGGAGACCTCATTGCGACCTTCTTATGTTTAAAGGTGGCTTATGAAAAACAGAGTGACTTTTTACATGGGCAGGTAGTGATAGGAGATGGGTTTAAACAAAAAGAGGCGAGATCTAGATTGGATGTTAGGAAGGGGTGCTTAGAAGATAGTGAGGCATACGTTGTCCAGAGAAGCTGTGGATGTCCCATTTCTAGAAGTGCTCTGGGCAGATTGGATGGGGCCCTGAACAGCCTGTCATGTAGAGTTGTCCATGCCCATGGTAGGGGCTAGGAACTTGATGATCTTGAAAGTGCCTTCCAACCCAAACCATTGGTGTCTGACAGCAGAAAGGTGCACTAAGACTGGGTACCTTTTTGACATTGAGTACCACTGGTTATAGTAATGGATTTGTTTCCAGCAAGTTTCAGTAAATTGGTAAATAGTGAATAATTTTTTAGTATTTATTTTTAGTATTTTATTGACAGAAGTTAGTATCTTTCTGTCCAGTTGGCTGTCGTATATGTCGTTCCTGCCTTTACTTAGCAGGTTAGTCATGACACAGGACTGTCATGTGATTTCCCAAATTTTCCTGAAGGCAAAAAAAAAAATTGAGGTACAGAACTGTGCCACTTTATTAATGCAGACAGAACAATCCCTCAAAGAGACTGTGACTGGTCATGATACTGAGATAGTAATTTAATCTCTAGCCTAAGAAATGCTTTACCAGCTTTATTCCTTGGTACGTGCTAAGCAATGATTGTTCTGCTTCATTTTGGGCTACTGTGTTTGTGGTCCAGTTTGTCAGGCTGATGATAGATTGTGTAGTATGGTCTTTCTGTTGAGCCAGGGTAAGCTGTCTCAAATTCCATCCAGAACAGCTTTGGGTCTTCTAGTTAGAGGTTTATTAAATAGTACTGAATGTCATTGTCACAGATATCCTGATTTAGAAGACTACTCTTCATAAAATGAAACTATTGCTTTTTATCAGAATGGTGCTACTTCATCTTCAAAGCTGTGCTCCATAACCCCAGCATACATATGCTGGAACAAGCTCATAAGCTTATAAAGGCATGCTGGGCAGTTGTCAGATCCTATTTTTAAACCGTTTCTGAGAAACACTTCTGCTTCCCTATCTCTGCATAGTCATAGGAAAGACTGTACTTCATGCAGGAGCCATAGTGTCTGGGCTCAGCTAACAGTAATTTTTGAACTTGAGTGTCTCCTCTTCAGAGATAGTAAAATTGAACTGCACTGATTGCTGTTGCAGAGGGGAGATGACGGATCACTAGGAAATTGTGGTAGTGGGCTATCAATCCCTTGACTCTAGGTACAAACAATAAAAGATTGTATAGGTATCTCTTCACTCCTGTGACCAGGGACAGGGCTTGAGGAAATGGCATGAAGCTGAGGCAGAGGAAGTGTGTTGAATATCAGGAAAAGGTTTTTCACCCAGAGAGTGGTTGAGCACTAGAATGGGCTCCCCCCAGGGAAGGGGTCACAGCACCAGCCTGAGTTCAGGAAGTGTTTGGACAATGCTCTCGGGCACATGGTGTGGTTCTTAGGGTGTCCTGCATGTGCCTAGGAACTGGACTCCATGATCCTGATGGATCCCTCCCAACTTGGCATACTCTTATGATTCTAGATCTGTGGTGCTTGAGAGCCTAGCCAAACTTTAATAGGAGTCGTGATGCCTGGTGTCAGAGCACCTGCTTTGCTATGTTTCAGAGAGTGCAGGAAGAGTTGAGCATTTTAAATACTTTAAATGGTATCTCTCCTGGTGAATCTTGAACATACAAGGTTTGCTTAATCTGCTACTGATTTGCAGTAGCCCACTTTCTGTAATTGTGTGGTACTACTTTATGCCACCTTTACATTTTCACTGACATTGGAAAACCTAAAAACGCAACTTGTGTCTGTAGGCAACTAGTATTTTAAGGCTTTTTCTCCCTGTGTCTAACATTGCTTTAGTCTAGGCCTGAAGTACAGACACTAAATACAGGTGTTCACACATTTCTATGCTAGAGAGAGAATTCCAGAATTGAAGGACTACTTCAGTGAATATGTATTATGTAGTTTGGGTCAAAAAATAAAGAATACCAATCAAGAATTTAGACTTGATTTTGTTTGTCTCTTAAAACTGGCAGGCAGGGATATTTCAAGCTAGGGAAACTACTATGAACAGGAAGAAAAAATCATGCTCTAATAAAATGAATTGTACAACGCAAAATTAACATGCTGAATTCTGTGTGTCTTAGAACTCTTTCAAAACACTCCTGGGACCCTGCAGTTGCTAGTGTAGACCTAATTGATGGGAGGGAATTGTAATTTCAAAGTATTATTAGGACAGATGCCTGAGGGCTGTAGCCAAGCCTACTCTACTTCTAGGAGTTGACAGTGCAGGGTCTTCGGATTTCTTTTTTTTCTAGAATAGGCAAGCTCTTATTCCACACTTCACACAGATTGTGTGCCACAAATGTTAGTGGCCTTTTAAGTGCAGCTGTTAGTTAACTTAGTTTGTCTTGTCTTCTGTTTCGGTGGTATGACTACTTAATAATCCAGTTCCCCTTTAAGTAAATTGAAATAGTTAACAGAAGCCAAGGAGAAGAACAGCTACCTAAATTTTGTATTGTAGGCCAAATTTCTGCTTAAAGGAAGGAGAGGAACTTAGCATTGGACATACTTTAAGCTCATCCTACAATGAGCAATGCAGTGGTCTTTTTGAAGGGTATGATACCTTTTGTCTGTTTGCTTAAACATGCCCTTTAATTTCAGCAATGTAATGATGCTGAAATGGGCTATAAAACTGTTAACTCACTTAAAACAAACCTCATCAGTTCCACATATTTCTGTAAGCTAACAAGAATATACTCGCATACTTTCTGTTCAGTGTAGTGACTGTGCCTTATGTTTCAAATTCTCCTGTGTCTAGTCCTCGCAGCCTTTCAATGTAGTTGTAGATAGCATATTACAACTTAGAGGTATTGAGCTGTCTACCAGTGCTCCATGTATAGAAGTGACTTGCTGAAAGGTGTTTCTTTGTGTCTGTAGATGCTGCATTAAGCTTAGATTTTTTTTTCCTGTAGCCCACCTGTGTACTGAACAAAGTGTCTTGCTCTAGATGCTTCTTTCTGCTTGAATAGCATTTACCACAATTTATGTACTTATGTTATGACTGCACTCAGTAAAAGTAACCTCTACGTTCTGTTTTGGATGTGTGTATTAATATGTGTAGAACATCTGTTGCATCTTTTTAGAAACAGCACATTGCAGTCTTGGATCATATTTCAAATCTGAAGCCTTTAAGGTCTATCTGAAGTAACAGTTTATGTAGTGGGGTTTTCTTATATGGTGCAAGAATAAGTATTGTTTTAGTATTGGTATTATCCTTCTGCATCATCAGTCCCTACTAGAGAAAAAGATCAGCAAAAAGGAAAAACTGAACTGGGTGTCCAAAAAAAGTAGGTCTGATAGACCTTATTTTTCTTCGTGTGTTTCTAAGATTCTTGGTTGAATCTGAATTTTGGATGTGCCCAGTTGCCACTGGAGTGCCACTGGAGAGGGTTTTTTACTACTAAGAAACACTTCTGCTGTAGTTCATAAGCTGAAGTATTGCTCTGCTTGTCATATGATAAATAAAGATGAGATGTTTCATTAGGTTCATTCTCTTTTCTGTTACGTCAGTCTAATGTATGCATTTATTTTAATATGTATTTCTGAGTCCCATTAAGCAGTAGCATGTCTAACATGTGATACCTTTTTGAAACTCCTCTAGCTTTGATTTTGAACTGGAAATATTTGAATGGGGATTCCTGGTCTTTCTGGCTGTTCCAAGGAAAAATAAGAATTGAATACATTCTTCTGTAAATAGTGGGTATAAACACAGTATATACCCATGGTCAATTTAGCCTGTTTAGCTGTTTTTTAGCACAGGGAAGCTAAAACAGTGAAAGTGTGAAATACCAGTATGTGTGAATGACTGTGCTTAGGATTACAGATGGCCAAAGGGAGGATGATGGAGGGCTCTACCAGTAACTGCAGCTCTTTAGAGGAGTGGGTAAAACCAAAAAGTGTATTTCTGGTGTTAACTAGAGAGCAGTTGCTGTAACAGTATTTTTATCAGCATTTGTAGGTTCTTTAAGCTGTTTTTCACTTAGTATTTAAAAAAAGGGAATTGAAAAAAACTTGAAATTGAATACCTCATCAGTGGAGGGGTTGCCCTTAACTGCAGCAACAAGATGGATTGTAAGGCGGGAACATGACTGAAATCTGTCTATGTTGTAAAATAAGCAGGCCTAACCTGTAGTTCTTGAACAGTGTACAACTTTCAAGTAGCTCAAGGCTATGTATGTCTGTAATCTACTGATAATAGAAATTGTGAAAACAGGCATTGTATGCAAATATGGAATTCTGAAAGACCAGTTTAGAGGGGATCTGCATGTAAGTAACATTCTTATTTCAAGCAGTTACACTACATCCATCAGATGATTCCTAGCTGTTGTGCAGCAGGAAAGCTTAGCCTTTTTCCATTCATCCTCTGTAGCTTGTGGAGGAAAACACAGATTGGACTTGTATTTAACTATAACTTCCTTCCCTTTGGGAACTCACATCTGAACTAGTACGGATTTCTGGCCATGTGGTATGCTTTGATTTCCTGCCCATATGTGAAATTTGAGTAAGCTTTGGCGTCTCAAGGTGCAGAGGGTGACTGGGAGACTTCTTTCTGTGGAAGTAGAAAGTCATTCCATGATTGTTTCCTTCCCCAGCTTTCTGCATGTGTACAACTAGGTATACTCTGTATGTCACAGTCAGCTAGTAGTATGTATGAGCTGACAGTACAGCATGTAAGATTTAAGCTTTCCTATTTTTAAACTTAAGAACTCTTTCAAAACTTCAGGTAGTTTTGCTGTATTTGATTAAAATTGTTGTTTTTAAATGTCAAAAGAAAATGCTGGACTGAAGGCTAGCTCAAAGAATGGCAGTTTTACACTTAAATTTTCACCTGCCAAACAGACTGCCAAAATCAGCCTATAGGTTTTCCATGCAGTGAACAGATTGTGAGATGTACATAAAGAAATCACAGATAGTGCTGAAGAATGAGGGATTGCAGTACACAAAGGAAGGTGCTTATCTTTAGCTAGATACGTGTTTTACTTTAAATCTGGTTTTGGCACTACATGTTCATGCCCAGTCTTTTGTAGCTTTTTGAAAGGGAAAATTTCTAACAACCAAATCAGTCGCCTTTTTAAATGCAGGAGAACTGGAGTAAGGAAGCCTCTGAGCATGCATGCCTCCAAAATCCTGCACATGTTCTTTCACTTAAATTTGTCTGAATACCATAATCAGTCTTGTGTTTTACAATGCTCAATTACTAGGAATTTAATTTCCGTGTTTATAGATAATGTTTTCTACCTATTTTGTAATGTAGGCAGTGTTTTTCCTGTAGTTTTCTCATGGTGTTTAGCTTCATTTTTTTCCCCACAACATTGTACTCGACTTTATTATTGAGATGTTTATTTCCTTTGCTTTCTAATGTGAAAGAGAAACTCTGCTAAACCTGCAGATTTTTCAAGACAGAGCAAGAGGGGAAGCTAGTGCTCAAGTTCACAAATCAAAATAGGCTTGTAGTTACAGCTTAACTGACGGGTAGGAAAAAAGCTGTAGTTTAGGAACACAGCTGGCAACAGGCTCATGTCTACCCCCAGAAAAGTAAACTTTTCTGCCACAATCTCCAGATCTGTTTGGATAATGATAAAAAGATACTGGGCAAAATGTGAGAGTTCTGTGACTGTTTGCCCAAAGTATAAATATTTTAGGCTTTGAGTGCTTGTGTGGCTTAAATGTTGCAGAAAGACTTGTCTCAGTTATTTTTAGGTTGGGGGAGCAGGAAGAGTACTTGCTTCCTGTCTTCCCCTCCCCCAGGAACCTTGGGTACGTTAATGAGGAGAAGAGATACAGCAACCCCTGAGTTGGTTTACCAGTTCCTATTGAACAAGGTTAGTACATTTTCTGACCTGCTTTGTGGAAGGGGTAGTACAGCCACTTTAGACAGTATTCTCCCTTTTGAACCAACACAAAGGCATTGAGAGTTTCAACTGAAACAAGTCCACAGTTTACTTGATAGTTGCATATGAATAGTCTCCAAAACAATGTCTACTAAAGCTTATTACTAGAATTAGTCCTCTAGTTGCTGTTATGTGAACTTTGATGCTATGCCCAGGCATGACTAACTTGAGAAATCAGTGAAACTGAATACTCTAGTTCCTCTTAGCTATTGTAAGATAAATATATTTAGGCAATAGCCATTAATGTCTTTACATCAGCTGTTGTTTCTCTTGTATATAGCTACAAATTCATCTTACTTGTAGGTGTTGGTACATATCCATGCTATAAAACAAAGGAATGTGATAACTTGGAACAGTACTTGTCCAGTTCAAGCTATACCAGACTGCTTCACTTGGCAGTTCAGGGTTTTTTGTTACTTTGATCCATAGAGGCATAAAAAAAGCTGTAGCAGTGTTTTGGATTTTTTCATAACAGGGAGAGGCAAAAAATGCATTTGGTCCTGGTTACTTTAAAAATTGTCTAAGACAATATAATTGATTCTTTTTCTGTTGCATGAGTATTGGCAGCAGTACACAGGTATTAACTTTGGGAGAAATAGTGTCTAGGTCTGTTGTAGGAATCTCTGATGGTTGTTTGCCATCAGTGTGCACATGCACTTCATAAAAGTGATCACTCTTCCTGACAAAAATCAGTCTGCAGCAATCCACCTAGAAGTACTGAGCTTCTTGGCACTGTGCAGCATGTGCAGAACAGGCTTAGAATCACTCAGGCAAGCAACAGAAAAATACTAGCTTTGGCATGCAGAAGTGTCCCCATGTGTAGAGCCAGGATAGAAACACCAGGCTTGTCCTAGCATGCTCCTCAAGCAGCTACACAGAAACGTAGCTATACTACTATGCGGAGCTGTGCTTTTTCTTCAGACTTCTGTGTGTTTTCCACTAATTTAGTGATGGTGGTTATGCTGTCTTTGGGGATATTGGTTTGCAGTTAGGTCTAGGGTTTTGTTTCATTTAAAGTTAAGATGTTGGAAAACTGAGCAGTTCTTGCTGCTTACTTTGATCCTTCCAGCTGAAGCAAAAATTTTGTGCTGGTATTAGCTGTCTTGGGAAACAAACTGTATGAGAGGGCACCAGCTGAGAATGCAATTTTCGATGTCTTGAATTCTGGAGAAAATGGAGTGTCTGCTTACAGACACTTGCAATCTCTTGCATCACTAATTAGGCACAAGCAGTCAAATCTTAATCTGATGTCTGAATTACACTTAGTTAAAAAGATACAGCAGAGTATGTTTACTTGACTAGTGAGAACATTAAGCAATTCCAGTTGGCTTCAAATATATTTTTAATTTGCAGATGAAAAATCAAAAATTTTGCTGCTAGTTAAACTTTTTTGTCAGTAGTTCTATGGACTTGTGCAGTTTGTTCTGCAGGGGATTCCCATTTTCTAGCAGTTTTATTCAATACAAAATGAATAATAAACTAAAAAATTTGTGAACACTTAGCTCTTTAAATAATGGTAGGAGTATCCCTATCAAAAGATGAGCCTTTATTATTAAACAGAATATATATATATAAGCTGAAGTGGTGAATCACATGAAAGATGGGCATAACTCAACATCCACTGTTTTCAGACAGTAGAGTCTGCACACTGCAGCCAAGTTCTTTGTGAGTATTGAACGGTCTGAACATAAGGAGGGCTGGTGCCTTCTCCTGTTCTTGATGAAGTTGTCGATAGTAGAATTGAGGCTGCAAGATGAATCATGTTCCAGTTCTTGCTTTGATGCTTTAGAACAAAGCCTTTTGCTCCTTATTTGAGAACTGACCAAAAAACTTGTCCAAGTTGTGAACCTTTCATGGGAAGAGAGTGTGTTGGGGGTGGGGTGGTGGGTGTAGTTTTAAGAAGCTTGTGTTTCAAAATAAGCCTTTCACAATTCCTGCTTCTGGTCAGATGTACATACTTTACATGTGTGAAACACGTGACTTAGCTAGGTATAATGTAGCCTTTGGAGGCTGAGCATAACATTATCTAGATCTAGGACACTGAAGTAACTTCATATAATGGTCACCTTGAGCTGCTCTAATCTGTGTATGAGCATGTATTACTGGTAGTGCTAACCAGTGTGTGAGAAGGAAGGAAAGGAGAAAGCACAGCTTTAACAGTGGTTACAGCTTTCTGGTGGTTTTGAAGAATCAATAATAAGATGCAAGTGGTAGACTGATATATAATACACACAGTAAGACTAAAGGGAGTGCATTAAGATGAAATTAGGGCTTTCCAGTTAGGAAGATGGAACTGAAAGCTAGAGGAAAAGGGGCTGGGGAAATTGGTGAGGTGAGATGATACCAAGAAGAGAAGTGTGGTGAGCTAATCCAGGAGTAAGAGAAGTGCCTATGTTGAAGGGAGCCATTTTTAGAAATAGTGAAAGAACAGGAAGCCTTGCATGAGAACCTGCTGAAAGTTAACGTCTGTTAGCTAATGATGCCTGTCATCAGGGAGTCAGTGCAGAAGTCTGGAATCATGGGATGGCCAAAACCAGCACTGAGACAGCTGGTGGGGTTTGCAGCTTGGCCTGTGGACTAGAGGAGGAGTCATGGACCTGTGGTAGGTGGTTGGAAATAAAGACTGTAACTACTTGGGTAGTAACCCAGCTTAGTAATGAGTGATTAGCAGTAGGGCCATGTTCATCAAGGTGACTGGAGTTCAGTTCAGCCTTGAAACACAGCTTCTTAATGTGCCTGAACTAGGAAGTATTATGTTGGGGCAGTTGTGGATGCCAGAGGCAGTCATGTCTTGAGATGTTTTCTTTGGTTGCTCTTTGCTAGTCCTATGGGCTGTTGTTCTGATAGCACAGTGTAGTGTTCCATCACCCCAAGTACTGATCATTTGTGTGACTATGCTGTGAACAAAGGACTGATGTGTTTAATAAGGAGATCACTTCTTCCTACTCTTGTATTCATTTTTTGAGTTGGGGCTGACTGTGGACCTAATATTAATCAAAATAGAGTCCTGGAGGGATTGTGTTTCACATAATGCAAGATCTCTGCCCATACTGCTTCAGAAACACCCTTCTCCTTTTTCCACTGTTCAACTATGTAAGTAGTTTTCCAAAGCACATTAGTGCCTCATGTCAGGGGCACAGTTAACTAGAATCTATTGGCTTGAGGAAAAAGCAGAGATGGGGCAAAGTCTTGTTAAAGGCATATTGTTAAATATTACCACTATACACTCTCAGCTGTAGTTTCACCGTTTTGTCACAATTTAACAAAACTATTCCTCCTGGGAATGAAGGAGGGATCTTTTACTGTTAACATGACAATAAATAAATTAGGCAACAGTATGCAGCCTATAATTACAAGCCATATAAAACAAGAGAGTCCAGTGGCCCAGGCAGTCTGTTCTGACTTTTCTCAACTTTCCCCTGTTTTCCTAATGCTGCAAAACAACAGAGATGAGTAGACTGGATTTTCTGCCAGTGTGTGTATTCTAAGCATCAAACACTTTTCATTTATGGAATAAAACAATGCAATAAAATGAGCTTAATGACAGAGCAAGTCTCACTTTTTCATAGACCTTTTTCTCCTACCCTCCCCTTGCCTTTCCATGGTAACTCTGGAACCTCGTGAGTTACTAGTAATGCTGGCAGAGGTTAATGTTTACAACTCACTCTGTTTTTTGAATACAGGCTTTAGTCTTCTCTAGCAAATTGAAACCAGATGGCAACAGCAGGGAGCAGAATGGAATTTATTTCTCTTATGTGGCTTGTGATGTTAACAAAACTCTTCGGGTGTTTTTATTGTTATTTTGCCTAGAAAATGGCTTGTACCTTCTTTCTGTCCAGTCTCTGTAATGTGGAAGCCTAGAGCACTTACCCCTGCACACTTGAAAGCCTTCACTGAGATGTGTTGCTTTACTTCCATTACAGTGACAGACTGTGGTATAATCCTATAACATTTTTTGTGGGGTGTTTTGGAGTTTTTTTTCAAGTAAAAGCATCAAAACTAGTTAATCCATCTAGAATTTTTTTCTGCTGCTCTTGCACAGCTGATGGAGGTGAAATGCAATTGTTTTGCAACATTTAACAAGTCTTTCTCTTTTCTCTAACTACCCTAGGTGAAAGTACACTAAAGGAAGATTTGCTGAAATCTGAAGAGGGAGACAGGCTCAGTCACTCAAACTACAGTGATTCCAGAATCTGTAATGTAGACAGGCTAAGTGGTTTGTTTTTTTTTGTTTTTTTTTTTTCCCCTGTGCAGTTAATGCTGTGCTTTTTTTGCTGGTTTCTCAGGGGAAAAGACTCAACATGTTGAATCACAGAGATGTTAATTCCTGCTAGGTTTTGGGATTTCCTTGCAGCTCTTCCCTCCATGGCTGCAGGAGCTGTTTTTGCAGAGTGCCTCTTCTAAGGCAAGAATTTGCTAGAGATGAAGACAGAAGCCAACTGGATGTAATAGTTTCTGGCTCAAATTGTGTGGTAATTGTCAGAATATCACAGGGTGTTGTAGGAACTGCTGTGTTGAGCATAGTTGAGGATTTATTCTTTCATAATTTGCCTAAATGAGTATAAAATGCTAATCTGAATTAACATACAAAAGTGAGGGGAAAGATTTCTTGATGTTTTCTACCCACTTGAAACCTGATGTGTGCAAAAATAAATTTCAGTATGCTGAAGTAGTCATGGGTTTTTTTCCCCCCACTTGCTCAATCTTAACTCCTTTCTGATTTCCCAAAAAAAAAAAAAAAAGCTACTTGCTATAGCTTCCAAAATAAAAAAAAAAAAAACAACAACCTGTGGGCACTGGAAATATATTAGAGCTTCAAATTACTATCATTTTCACTAGGAATTAAAAACATGTAGTCCTGGAAATAAATTGATACCAAGTATTTTGAAATACATACCTGATTCATACAACTTGCTTTCCCCATAGAAGAGAAGTATTCCTAGCAGCTTGTTACAGTACTGAATTCAGTGTTAAGTGTAAGATTGGCACGTTTACTATGAAGACCAACTTTAAGAGAATTCATACGAACTCTACTTCTTCAGCAATTGTTTTTGATAAACTGGGTCTTGCAGCTCCAAGAGGCAAACAGGAAAGGGATGGAGGGGTGGTAGTCAAATTTTCAGGCAGATCAACTCCAGTTGGAGTTAAGCTCTCACAGTGTGGAATAGTGTCAAACACTACAACACTCCTGTATCCTTTTTCTTCAAAAATGGCTACAGATATGCTGTCTTTTTACCCTGCAGTGCCACATTCCATGATAATGTTTCCAGTGCCTTTGAGTTTTTGTCTCTAGGCTCTAATGATCCTAGGATGTGAACTGTCACCTAAAGCACTATCAGAAGTGCAACTTCTGACATAATTTTAAATAAGTGAATCTTCCATCCCTAGATGTAGTTCTTGCTGGATTAAAAAAAGGCTATCTATTTTAATTAGGTATGGTTTGTGAGCCTAATTTAATGTAAAAAAATGCTTGAAAAAATAATATTAATGAAAATTTTCCTTAATGGTGGGTGGCAGACTTGTAAACTACTGTTAGACTCTGTATGTGTGACTGACTGTTTGTTAAAGGAAAAGCATGTTTTCGGAGTGTGGTTTTTGGACTTCCAGACAGATTACACAAACTCAAGGAGGCCCAGCCCACATCCTGTGTAGAAAACCAGCTCACAAAAATGCTCATTGTTCTTCAGGGTTATAAGTCACTGTATTTTGTGCTTCCTTTCTATTTCAAAATACTGTATGGAAAATACTAATGCAAAGGAACCACAGTAGCTTAACAAGTGACTGGTCCTGCCAGGTACTGAGCACTGTGCTCTTACCAGAAGGCTGGGGGACTGGGATTAAAACTGGGATTAGGCTCCCTGGCTAGAGAACAAAGTTTGTGTTGGTAAAAGTAGCTGAGAGTATTTATCAGGTGAGTAAATCAATTGATAACTGACATACTTTCAACCTGAAAGTTATTTGTGTGCAGCCAGTATTTACTATCCTGGAGTAGGGGTTACAGGATATGAAGTTTTATTCAAGCGGGATGAGTTCTCTGTAACACTGATTCACGTCTGCTCAGTCTTCACTGCAGAAAGAGAGAATGTGGGGTATCTGGGTCTGATACCCCACCAGAAAGTGGCTAGTGTTTCTGAATCTCTATCCATGGTTATTGCTGGGTTGTGTTTTTCAACCTGGAAGCTAATGGACCTATCCACGAAGGGAGCTGTCAAGTCAAAAAACACTAAAACTTGTTCACTCTTCCCTCTTTTGAACATACATTATCATCTTGGAGGTTATTTTTTAAAAAGATTAGGTGCTTTCATTTTCAACTTTTAAACAGGAATAGTGTTCCAATGTTAATTCTAAACCACATGTATTATGTTTTTCTTCCTTCAGAAGAGCAATGTGTCATATTTTTTGCTAGAGTTCAGTACCCATTTAAGACTGAAATATTTGTTATGATAATACAGATGCAGCTAAGCAGAAGGCTGCCATGGGAGTGTTTGAGGTTGTGCCCTGCTTTTCTATAGCCCTCTGAAAGGAATCACTTCCCTTTAGTCTCTGCCAATCTCCTGACTGTGCAACATTCCCAAAACATGTAGACCATAAAATGGGATTTTAGGGAAGGCATTCAAGTAAACTGAAGTTCCCTTGGGATGAGATTTGCTTTTTCATGCAGAGCTTCTGTTTACTGTAGCCTGGCACTGGAGTGAATTCTCTTGGTGACCCCAAGGGTGGGAGAGCACCCAGGCCATCCTCTTGTTTTGGGGATAGTCTCTCCTGGCTGGCACAATAAAGTCTCCCTTTGCAGTGTTTTTGGAAGGACACACCCAAGTGCAAGTTTTTTTCTTTGTCTCTTCAGTGTCTCTGTAACAATAAGTGACCAGTCTCGTGATGTGGCTGTAGCTGCCAGAAATCTGCAGTGAATGTACAACTGTATCAGTCATTAATTGCACAGTATTGCTGAAGCGGCCCAATGCTTTTCTGAGTTGTGTTCAAGGGTAAGTAGCAGCTTAAAGATAAAAACCTTTGTGCTTCTATGAGTTCACAGTTACATTGGTGGATAAGATTTTGTGTATTTCTGTGATTGCATGGTTCTGTTCAGCCTGTTCTGTTGAAAGTATGCAACCTGGACAGGCTCAGTCTGCAGTTTGAGTGCTTTGGAGTTTGTTGTTGAGACTAAACTGTGTTGGTCTCAGCAGGGAACATTTCCAGACCACATATCCTGGCCTAAGTAATTCAGGCTGTCATTGTTGCTCCACAGGATGATGCTGTGTGGGATATCAGGGCACAGAGCCTTCAGACTTGTGTTCATTTTGTTGTAGCTATGTTTCATATTTTGAAAGAACTTGCCACTAATGGATGCTGTCCTTCTATCTCCAGTGCCTGCTAGTCACCTGAGGAACGATTCAGTCAGTAGTGTTCCCCTTATCATAGATTCATAGAATGGTCTGGGTTGAAAGGGATCTTAAAGATACCTAATTCCACCCCCTGCCATGGACAGGGATGCCTTCCCCTAGACCACATTACTCAGAGCCCATCCAGCCTGCCCTTGTGCACTTCCAGAGATGGGATATCCGCAGCTTCTCTGGACAACCTGCTCTAGTTTTTAATCACTCTCACAGTAAAGTATTTCTTCCAGGTACCTAATCTAAACCTGTCCTCTTTCAGATTGAAGCCATTTCCCCTTGTCCTGTCACTACATGCCCTTGTAGGAACTCCCTCTTTGGTTTTTCTGTAGGATCCCTTTGTATACTGGAAGACTCCTTGTTGCCAGTAGTGAGGCTTCACATGCTGGTGGCCTTGTATTGGCTTCCTGGAGGTGCTGCTGTCTGCTACAACATGGCTGCTTTTGTGCAGGGGGAAGGCTGCAATTGTAAATACTCTCCTTAAAACAGCAAGAATTAATAAATTCCCTTAGGTGACTGTATTTTAGACGTGGCCTGCGTTTATCACGTCCTTGATGTGCTACTGGGTATTAGTGAGGAATACGATAAGAGATCTTCCAGACTGGAAGACTGCCCTCTGTGTTTGGTCAGCACAGCCTTATTTCTACTGGCTTTACCTTTCTTTAGAGGGGACTCTGAACAGAAATTGTTAAACTTCTTATAACTGTGAAGCTTTGAACTAATAGCAACAGCGAGAATTTTCAGTTATCTGAAGAAATGTATACATCAGAAATTCTTACGGGTTTTTTTTTCCTGCACCTGGTACAAAGAAGTAGAATAGCCCTAGGAACAGGCAAGATAACCCAATTCCTGCTGCTGTCCATTCATTTGTGTACCTCCTATTGTAACCAAAGCAAAGAATTATTTGCTATGGGTTCTGAATCAGGAGTCGCTATTCTTTCTTTGGTTTCTTTTGAAAGCCTTTATAATGGGGAGCATGCTTACAAAATTAGGGGAGGTAAATTTGGGGCCTGTATGTCACACCACAGGTGACTGCACTCAGGAGTAATGTCATTGTCACAGCTGTACACACCTTTTGATTCTAGATGGTCAAATTCTCTACCTTCATTTGTAAGTGGGGTATAAATGAGAGAAAGGCTGACTTAATTTGATGGCAGACTGTTGATAAGAGTACCACTACTCTTATTTGGAGACTGCTTAATCCTATTTAAGGTTGGGATTTTTTTGGAAAGTCTGATTTATGGTTGTATTTTGTACTGGAGCCCATTTCAGAGCTGAGTCTGAATAAATCTGTCATTTGCTACATCTTCATTGGTATTTCTATAATATTTTAACTGTATGAGAGTTAAACAGGATTATTAAATAAAATTTTCTGAAGGTCAAGGAGATTCATTAATGTTTTTAATACCTGCAGGTTTTAGGAAAACTTATGCTGAATTATGAGCGGAAGTACCAACTTATTAAATAACTATTTTTCTAATAAATATAGATGATATAACATAACTGCAGGGAACCAAAAATGTCATGTCAATAACAGTAGCACCTGCTTGTATTTCATTTAATTTGTGTGTGGGATTGTTTATGTTGTAGGAAATGGCAGTTTATGAACAAGATTTTGAGGGGAATGATATGTTGCCAAGGCTGCAGTATTTTGTATTATACTGTACAGACTCTGTATTGTAACTCAGAGTATTTGTGAGCTTCCTTCCCTTTGCAGTCCACCTGCTTACCACCGCTGCCAGTAAGGTGAAGTTGCAGTGAGCTGGGTCAGTGGGAGAAACCTCACTTTCCTTGCAGTGTTCGATTGATGCCCATGTAGTTCTGTCAATGTCTTGTTACAGAGTCAGGTAGGTGCCAGTGCAAGGAACGCAGGAGGGGCAATCTTCTGATTTGGCAACAGCTGGCAATCAGATTGGCTTTATGGTTTCATCAAGTTGTATCTGTAAGTTGTGCCCACATCTGTACCTATGTGGAAAGGTGTCCTTCCCTACTGTCAGGTGCAGCCCATCTCCTGAGCACTGCCACTGTTGGTCAGCTGCTTGACAAAAAGGTAGGTAGGGGACACAGACTTAGCTGGCTGTGAGATTCTAGGATCTAGTCCTAGATTTCTAGGACTGATGGAGAGAGAACTGCTTAACACATCAGGTTCAGATGGGCCTGTGTGTTCACATTACAAGATGAAATACGTGACTCTAAAGAAGCATTAGCTCTGACCTGGGTGGCTGCAAAATAAAGGAATCCATGTAGTAGAAAGACAGATAAAAGAATGGCTTACCAAGGCAGTTGGTAATGCACTAGTATAACTTGGGATAAGAAAAAGAAAAAAGGAAGGGAAGATCTAGAAATCCCAGCCAGTTTATCTGGATCATTAGACTGGTGTCAAAATACTCTGAAATGTGTGGACTGGGATAAGACAGTAGAAGGTCACCATTACCTTAGGAAAAAAAGAAAAGGCCGCAAGCAGTGTCTCTCCAAGGACCTGGTTTTTTACTACCTACTGTTACAAGTGACACTAGAGATTACTAAAACTGGAAGAAATTAGACGAACCAAACCCTTTTCTTGTTTTCTGGTTAGCGCCATTGCTAACATTCTTGGCAGAACTTCACAGGCGCTTTCCGTGGGTTTTGTGCTTGGTTGCACTTCCTGTCTCATTTATTGGCATAATGATGTCATTCTTGCACACCACTGGGGAGGAGCACAGCAGTGTGCTCTGCCCCAACTCCTGTGAGAAAAGCTTTCTTGTGCCCCTACAAGAAGACCTTGCTCCTGCTCTGATGGCTAAAATCCAAATGGAAGATCCGTTTTTTGGGCCTCCCCTGTATGGAAGTGGGAGGCAGAGCAGGAAGAAGAGGCAGCAGGAGAAGTGGCATGTCATGTCATCTTTGGTAGGAAGCTACTTACAGGAACATCTGTGTTCACCTAATACGGGTGAGCACCTGGAGCCTGCATAGCTCTGTGTGTGCCTCTAGAGTCTTTGCGGAGCTGTAGAAGAGAAGGCAGAGGTAGGGAATATGCTTTCCCTAAGCAAACAATACAGTGAAAAGCAGGAATGAGAGCTTCAAACACATCCCTGCTCCTCTGGCCAGGCAACCCTGCTCGTGGGAGGAAAGCACTGAGAAAGTCCTATTTGCCCAGTGCTCCTTCATAGACCAGAAGAGTAGCAGGGTTTGTTTTTCTGGGTCGCCTGCCTGTCCCAAGAAGGCAGCATGGATCAAACAGTTTGTCCTTGGGGATGTTGCTGCAGGAGAGGGAGGAATGTGGCTTCAAGAGAGGGAACAGGTGGACCTGCAAACCTGGGGAGCAGCCTGGGCCTGCTGCTTGGCTGTACCTCTGCACAGGCCAGGTTGTGCTGTGCAAGCTGCAATTTGCAGAGAGCTTTAAAGTGGTAGAAATTGGTGTGCTAAAATGAACTTGGGAAAACTTAAATCCGGCTCAAAGGGGCTCTTCCAGCATGAGTCATCTGCAGCTGTGGAGAAGCCCTGGGCAGAGCCTTCCTCCCCACTGCTGAATGGAGCTGTCAGAGCGCTTGGAGCCAGGGCAGGGAGAAAAAATACCCCAGTTCATTTCCTAACAAGGTATGCATGGGAGAATTCCCCAAGGGGGCACTGGTGGGGGTTTGTCGCTCTGTGTTTTTCAATCCCACAGCTCCACATAAGAACACTGTGCAGCTTGAAACACCCTAAGCCCATCCCCAGGAAGCAGACAATGGTGTTGATATGGCTGTTGCTGCAGAGGAAGTGGCTTCTGTTACAACCAACAAACAAAGTCTGTTTTTGGGTGGTTGCCAGAATAAATTAGACATAAAATTATTTTGCCTCTTTGCCTTTAGTCTTGTTGTCTTGGAGATGTTCCTTTTGCTTCCTAACATTTAAATCTCACCTGCGGCAGGATTTCCACTCCCTCACACCCCCCCCCCCCCCCCCCCCCCCCACCAAAAAAAAAAAATACAGACTTTGAAATTGTTAATAGAGAATCTAGTCGTTATTTAATAAATTATGAAAATATTCTTAAATGCTTTCAGGAGGGTAGCAAAGCACAAGCTAAACCATATGTAGCTGTGGTGTTGCTCAGGGCTCTTGTCATACCGTTGGAAATACGACATTATTGCAGAAAAGACAGTCTGTGGAAGTTGGACTCGGGACGTTGGAGGCATTAGGCGCCCTCTTGTGCTGTTTTCTCTGGGAGCAGTGTATGGTGAGCAGCTGCCTGGGAGAAGAGGCTGAGCCAAGCTTCAGCCTTGGTTTTAGGAGGTAACTGGTGTGTGTTTTTGCACCTGATCATGGCCCAGTATGGTTCTGATGTATAGGAGTTACTTGTTACTTCACTCTAGCTATACAGTGTGACCATTCAAAATGAAGCTTTCAACAGAAAAAAAAGATCTTCCAAAAGACAAAAATAAAATCTTTAGATTCACACAAAAGTAGCAATGTCTACTAAGTACTAAATTTCTCTGATGGTCTAGATTTGAAATTTAATTTCAAACTTCACTGCCTGTTAATAATATGATGCAAGTTAGTTTGTTTGTTCATATAGATTGAGCTGTATGTTTATAATCATTCACCTCTTTGGGCTGTAATAGTATCAGGAAAATGTGCTGCATCTCCTTGGAAGTCAGTTGTGGGTCTAGTCAAATACTTTTTCAGATTGCTCACTGCAATTATCTGAAAATACCTAATTTCTCCAGATACCAAACCACAAGCAGAAATGCAAACTCTGAGTAAATGAGGTACATCAATTTGCAAAGTTAACTAAAAAGCTATGTCAGATCTGAAAATTGGAAATCTGAAAAATGTGTATTTGGTGACTTAATGCATGAAGGTTCCACTATTTTTTGATATATGAAGCTCAAAGTCATTCAAAGGACACAAATATCATTTTTCTGGCATGATGCAAAGTCTCAAACTTACTGGAACCTTCAGGATGCAAACACAACTAAGCATAACATATGCCTTGCCAGCATTTTTCTGGCTCTTCAGAGATTAAAGATGTTGCTTATTTCAGGCTTATTGACCCAGAGCACTTTTAGGGTGGTTTACTTGTCCTTCTGTGACAACATTTAGCAAAATAGTTGTTTCTATCAGGTTTCCCTCTGCATGAAAGCTCCTGAGGATTATGACCATTTTGCAGAGCAGCAGCTAGAATATAAAAGGAGAATGTGCTGGGCCTGGCTGAGGTCCATCTATCTGATACTGATGCTGTCTGCAGCAGACACTGTAAGCAAGTGCCTTGATAAAAGCCTAAGAGAGCAGGTATAAATGCTTCTTCCTGGACTGCTGTTCCAGCGTCCAACAGTTTTCATGTCCTGAGCTGAATGTGGAGTTCATGCATTTAGTAAACCTTGATAAATTTAATTCCCAAGATTTTTCCAGTCCTCCACTGAGCTAATACTAGACTTTCACATTCATAGCAGCCTTATTGCACTGATGAGCTTGGTCCATTGTGAGCACTGACAATCTTGTCTCCTGTCTCCTATTTTAAACAATTATTTGCCTCAGAAGGACCATTTCATGACCATACCTGATACTGTGTGAAAAATAATCCAGACTGACATTTCAGAATCTGTGGAGTACTACCTTGGGGAGAGGGGCGGGGGGGGAATACCCTTCCTTTGCCCACTGAATTATTTGTGCTTACATTTTGTCTCCATGAAGAAGATGGGGAAAGTCCTCAGACAGAGATTAAGAGAGAAAAAAATTCTCTAAGCAGTATTTTTGGGTATTTTGTGAAGTTCTGTGTGAAGCTCTTCAAAAGGCACAGGACTTCACTTGTGTGGTTTGCATAGCAAAATAGTTAATGTAAATGAGTTGAGAGACAAATCTCCTAAGCAAAATCAGCCATTCCTGAGAACAGAATTTTGTCATTAATAATTTGAACAAAGCGTGTAGTCATTGTTGTCTTCTGTTAACCCTAAATACCTTAAAATATCAACAAAAGGCTCCTTGTGGCTGCGCAGCTTTAGGTCAGTGTTCAAAAATTTTACAGTGCCAGGTCTGATGTAGCTGCTGGGGAAAGATCATTCACAGATTTAATTCTAAAATTGCCCAATGAAATAAAGCAAAATGTGGAAAGAGGAAAAAAATATTCAAAGAAATCCAGCATCTTGGGAGTACATCATCTTCATAGTTTTTCTAAGCATCTGAATTACTGCTCAATGAATAAGGGAGTAACAATTTGCCGAATACTGTCAGCTATACTGTAATATTAGTTTTGATAAAACAAATAAATGCTCATATTAGCATAGGCCTGATAAATCTGTGGATTCAAATGTGTGCACTGAGCATGTACAAGAACTGACACTGCTGAAGTACAAGAGCCAGACTTGTAAAAGACTGAATCCAAGTTGCTGCTTCACATCCTGTTCTGCTGTTTCACAGGAGGTGTGTGTATATATGCTTTTCCCTAAAATATACAGTGATGTAGGAGACAAGATGGTCAGTGCTCACAATGGACCAAGTTCTTCAGTGCAACAAGGATACTGTGCAAAAGTTTCATATTACACAATTTGTGACATAACTGAAAAGTAGCATCTTCCAAGAAGGCAGGGGGCAGGCAAGAGTGTGTAGCAGAGCTGCTGGCTTGCAGCAATCCTTATTCAGTATTGCAGCAGTTAGCTCCTGCCTTTTAAAAAATGAATTGTTTGATTCCACTTTCCTAGATGTATCCAGGAGCCAACTCTGAGCTCTGACTATTGCCACATTCTGTCCTTGCGTGCAAGATTATATTTCCCGATAAGCATGAATAGAGTTCAAATGAATCTATCAATAATCAGTAGAAAGGATGTCATAATGCAAAGTCTGATACTGTATAAAAATATACAAGTCCTTGAAAACATGTATTTGGAAAGGAACTGCTTTATTCTTAACATAGCTGCAGGTCTGGCAGCAGCAGCTCATGAAGAGGTGTGGGAATTAGCTGAACAGACTCCCTGCTGGCAAGGAGAGCTAGGAGGCTGTATGCTACTGATAGGAGACTCCTCATTTTTAAGTCCCTTTGGGTAAAGGAAGGTAAATGATTTTTCTTTGCTGATGAAACACATTGTGAGGCAAAGCCACAATCGAGAAGAAAAAAATAAGTGTTGAATGGAAATAAAATCTTTAAACTCAAGTGAAAAAAGGTATGTAAGATTCAAATTTCTTTTAGGTTGTCATAAATTCATCACAATGAATTCAGCTAAAAGAAGATGTATGAGGAAGGTGGGGAAAGGAAGAGATGGCTGAAAATGAAACATTTTTAATTGCTCCACTGCTAATTCTCTGATTTGGATCTGCTTGTAATTAAGCTAAACTATTTTCAATGGAATTTTTCTTTGAAGTATTTGCAGCAATGCAGAGTATGTGTGGTACTGTGCTGAGCCTAAGGAAAGGGCAAACAGAAATACTCCCTTGTCCTGTGAATACCAGAGTCTCTCTAAGGACTCCCATGTCTATTAAGCAGGCACTTTTCCCAAAATCTACATTCTTACAGCATCATTTATAGGGAACTTGAAAAGCACTCTGTAGTGATGCCCTCTGGTGACTCCAAGAATTTTTACACTATAATGAAATAAAAAATAAGATAGAATTTGGCCTGCTACATACTCTGGCAAGTTGGACTATTCATTAAAGATTAATGAGCAAATCAGAGCTACTAGAGCTCAGTCAGGCAATATATATAAGCCATACACATACAGAGGTCCAAGACTACCTCCAGGTGTAGGAGCAGAGCTGTAATGTGTAAGACAGTCTCTCACCCAATCATGCAAGTAATCTCTTGTACATTAGCAATAAAAAAACCTGCCTTTTGGCACTGCAAATTGATAATTTCTTTTCTTGTGCTTAGAGAAAAGATGAAATAAAAAACCTCTTGAGCTTTTCTTGAGACAGAGAATGTGGAAGATGTTAATTGATTGTATGAAATCTTAGAAATTAACCAGCTGTGCAAAGGAATATCTGTTGTTTATTCTACACTTACTGTGGCTGCTGCGCAGTCTCTGGAAAGTGGATTTCTTCCATGCACTGTTTCCTCTCCTGTATATTGCTTTTTATATGCACAATCTGTCTGCAGCATCTAATGTCTCTACATTTACTGCCTGTCATTTCCCCACTGTACAGGCACACCTGACTAGTGTTGTACTGACTCTGGAGCTCGTGTGGTTCTTCCTCGGTTCTGGGTGAAAAGGACTCTCTTTATTTGCAGGGTTGTGTTTACAGCTAGATCTCTGGTCATATAGTGTCTACAGACTAGTGCAGATGGAAGGAAACAAGTAATTGTGGCTGGAAATGGATGGAGTAGGTGTGGGCATCCCCTTCAGTATTGTGTCTGTTTTAATTCATGACTATGAAGCTATGTCCTGATCCATATGGATGCAACACTGGTAAGGTAATGAGATTACTGAACTCTAGGGCAGGTAGCCCAAAAGAAAGCCATTCACAAACAGATACAAGCAAGGTAATGAATAGGGGATAAATAAAAAAAACTTAAACAAAAACCAGAAAAAAACTCCAAAACCAACCCCTCCCCAAATAAAACCCCAAAACAAAAAAAAAAAAAATCCCGAAACAAAACAAACCCAGCCAAATCCCTCATCCAAAACTGTGTTAATAACTGTATGAGGTATGAAGTATTAACTAATTACTTTCTTTTTTAACTGAATTGTCAAATTAGGCTTATACTCCAAATAACTGTATCAATAACTCCTCTGCTTTTGAGCCTTCTTTCCCCATGCCATGCCATGCCTGCGAGAGGATGCATCTTTTCCCATTCATGTCTTTTGCAAAACAGCCCCTTAGGCACAGTGTAGATCAACTGGGTTTTGTGCATATTTTCTCTAAGAAAAGCTAAAGGAGTAAACAAAATATTTGTTCTGACAAGATGCCTACTTTGATCATAAATGTTAAGATCAGGAGGTGCAAGTACGATTTTATTCTTACTTCCCAAGCAAT